TACAACATTTTTCAATGCTTTTTGCGAGGAAATAAAACAAATATATAGCTTAATAAAACTAAGTATGTATTAAAGGTAAAAATTATTTGTTAAGATTAAACGTGATATTTGAACATGTTTTCGTGTCATACATTTTTATTCGAAAATATTCGTTCTAGGCTCCTTGAATTTACTTTTGCCTCTAAAGTTTGATATATTTCCATCATTTTTTTTTTTATTTCTTTGGTGCTCGGCCAAAAAATATAATTAAAAAAATACTTTTAAGCACGTGTGCAGTAAAGGATTTCAGTACATTTTTATTTAACACGTGTTTAACTTTACTTAACTGCTATTTTTTTAATCCATTGTAAACACTGAAAGTGAGTCTCACTTTTACGCTCAAGTTTCTTACAACATTTTTCAATGCTTTTTGCGAGGAAATAAAACAAATATATAGCTTAATAAAACTAAGTATGTATTAAAGGTAAAAATTAAACGTGATATTTGAACATGTTTTCGTGTCATACATTTTTATTCGAAAATATTCGTTCTAGGCTCCTTGAATTTACTTTTGCCTCTAAAGTTTGATATATTTCCATCAAATTTTTATATTTCATTGGTGCCGGCCAAAAAAAAATTAAAAAAATACTTTTAAGCACGTGTGCAGTAAAGGATTTCAGTACATTTTTATTTAACACGTGTTTAACTTTACTTAACTGCTATTTTTTTAATCCATTGTAAACACTGAAAGTGAGTCTCACTTTCAGTGTTTACAATGGATTAAAAAAATAGCGCTTTATGAGCAACTGCATTGAAAAATGTTATTTATATTTTATATGTTATTTATATGTATCCGCATGCAAACTTTTGTCTTTGATCTTCAACATCATTTATTTTTATTATTCACCTTTCGTCATTTGAAATTTTGAGTAATCCAATATGCTCTTTATGTTCGTCAAAAATTCGTCTGGGGTGAACATGATAATTTAATCATATAAATTTAAATATATAAATCTAATAATAATAAAGTTTCTATTAACCTCAAATAAATAAAATTTTCAAGCATAGTCAGCTTTTTATTCCTTTGCCTATGCATCGAAGTGAATAATTACTTTAAAAAAAATCTAAACTTGAGTTACTTCCTAAATTATATTTTCGACACTGAAAGTGAGTCTCACTTTCAGTGTTTACAATGGATTAAAAAAATAGCGCTTTATGAGCAACTGCATTGAAAAATGTTATTTATATTTTATATGTTATTTATATGTATCCGCATGCAAACTTTTGTCTTTGATCTTCAACATCATTTATTTTTATTATTCACCTTTCGTCATTTGAAATTTTGAGTAATCCAATATGTTCTTTATGTTCGTCAAAAATTCGTCTGGGGTGAACATGATAATTTAATCATATAAATTTAAATATATAAATCTAATAATAATAAAGTTTCTATTAACCTCAAATAAATAAAATTTTCAAGCATAGTCAGCTTTTTATTCCTTTGCCTATGCATCGAAGTGAATAATTACTTTAAAAAAAATCTAAACTTGAGTTACTTCCTAAATTATATTTTCGACGTTGTAAAGTGAATCTATATTTCAAAACTGTATAATTTAATTTAAATATAATTACATAATGAAGATGGCAAGTAATTAGTGTTATTGCTCTATCTCTATCTATTTTATATGATTTTCTTAATATACATATAAACTTTTTAATAATTTAATAACCAAGCAATAAAGCATGCTTATGTTACCTTTAATTGTAAGCGCAGTAAGTTAATAACATATCTTTGTAGTATTTTTTTAACCAATAATATCTCTTACTTATGTTGAAAACGTAAAAAATAAATAAATAAGTTATATTGATATTTTCCTATAAGGTAAATAAAGTTGACATACTGTTTCAAGCCACTGTGCGGCTAGTGTGTGTTACATACATTTTTTTATGCAGACGAATCGCCAACCTACATACTTTACATCTAATAAGTTTATTACGTCACATACCTACATATGGACGAATTTTAATACATATTTTAGTTACATACTTAGACTCGGGTTCTTTAGTAGAAAGTCTGTTCATCCTGGACGTTCATCGACGTTCAATTATCTTATTAAAAGCGGTTTTTTTATGTAGCAAACCCATCTCTTAATTTTCCTTTAAAAATATTATAAGACCTATATGTTTATATATCTAATTAATATAAGCTAAATACTATCTGTATCTATTTTTTTGCACTATAAATGTGCGGCATGTCAATTAAAAGGGCTAAAGAAAGTCATCTTTTTTTATCACTACTGAACTTAGATTAAAAAAAAAGAATCTAACAGGAAAGACTAGACCTTTTTTTAAATTTTACATATATTGTATACGAAACCCTGGTTCGAATTGCACTGTTTAAAAGAAAAGAGGTTAGATAACAAAAGACAGTTTCATATCCAAAACTGTATAAAATATATCCCGTTTACTTTTGGTTAATTATGAGAAAGTGTCTAGTGAAGGGTAACCTGTGGTAAAACCAAAATAATTTATGATTACCTCATGCAGTGAAGAAGGCTAAATAAACACTTACTGCTCAAGATTATAATCTATGCATATTTATCATAGCCAATTTTATATAAGTTAAAAATAACTATAATGAAATAATAATAGTGTAGGTAATTGTATTTTAGTCAGAAGTCTTTGATAGTAGTAAAAACATAATGATTTTGAATACCGTTCGCTATTACTTGGACTGTAAACATTAAAATCATAATGCAGTCGTGTGAAAAAGTAATGATTAAGTGTATGGCGATTCAATAAGCCTATTTGAATACAGAATATTTTGATTTTGAGTTTATGATATCATCGGATGGAAGAATTAAAGGGAAAGGAATAATTAATATAATAAACTGAATATGAATTTTACTCATAGGTACTTAGGTCTGAATTGATGTTTATAAATTGTATGCAAACCTTATTAAACCAAAATACAATTGAACCGAGAAATCAAAATTCATTGATTAATTATTGATAATAAGCATTATATATAATCTCTTAATGATCAATTCATTCTTTTAGGAAGACTTGATATTTAATATTTGTATAATATCCTTAAAAAATATCTAAAAAAAAATCTACCTACATACACTAAATAATTTCACTTTTACAACAAGTACCGCTTAAGTAGACTGTATATCAATCCTTGAAACAATAGACTTTCACATCCTGCAAATGTATAGAGAAAGGGATTGTTTATCCGATCACAATCGACGTCTTAGCTGCCTTGCGTTTATGCAGAAGATACTTATTGATTATATTAGCAGTGATCGATCGATATATCTTTCTTATCATCGAGTTATATCTTTATTATCTTTGAGTTCATACATTGGAACTAATTCTATAACTTCATCATATGCATTCACTCCTCATCTGATAAATGTGCTTGCACAATTGTTAGATTGAAGTCTGCTGATTAAATCTAATTAATATTGAATTCAACTGAATAATATAAGAACTAGATGAGCAGATGTATGCTCCGTTGATTCGGATATTGGGAAATAAATGCCGGATGGAATATTGACGAAACAGATCTACAGTATGAAAGTGGAAGGATATAGACTATTGAGAAGGTTTCTTAGATTATGAAGAAGCATATATTTATAATATGACTAGCTTTTAACTAGTTTTCTAGAAATAAAAAGTTCAAATAAGCTTTAATGCCGTAGTGGTTAGCGTTCTCGGTCGGCAGTACGGTATTTAAGCAACATTTGTAAGGGCCGGTAATAGGATGTCTCAGGAAAAATTTATTATCTCGAGCTCCTCCGTGCTCCGGAAGGCATGTTATATCGGTCCCTACTGGATCTGCAGTTGTTTAACACTTACCAAGCCGCACTGGGCCTGCGAGGTGGGTAATTTGCCATTCTCCCTCTTCGATTTGATTCGATTAGATCCTCAGTAAAGGCCTGAGATCCAGCATTGGGGATATTACTAGGCTGGTGATAGTGAAGCTTTAATTCAGAATGTGGAAACTACCTCATGTATTCTGTCACATCCAAAACGTGTATTTATAAAATTAGTATTATAAAGTTATCCCTAAAATACATAAGTTTGTATCCCCATAATTACACCCTTTATATAGTAAAAATTTACAAACATGTGAGTCACGTTTTACTACCGTAAAAAAAATCATAACATACAATCTCTTGACTTTACGTTCCTCGCGAACTTTCGAACAAATGTCAGAAGATTCACTCTGTTTCTCCAAAAACAAAATTTTGTGTAAAGTTATATGGATTTTCGATAAACGATGCAACTGGTAGGTAATGGACTGAACATTGATTCTTATACCTAGAATAATCTGCAAGGATATGATTTAAAAAATAATAATAAGTCGTCTGTCACTATGAATAAAATCAGTAAATTATAATAATAAAATCTACTACTAACATGTGTTTTTACCAAAAAATTGTGACATTGTCAAAAATCAATAAAACATCTTACGTATCAACAACGCTATTCTGAAAAAAAGGTTTAATTTCATTAAACCTTTAACTCTAGGTACTGTGAAATCGCCGAGCTCGACGTCAAATTAGGCTGTTTTATAACAGAAATGCAAAGTTGATTGTCTCAAAAATTAAGGATACAAACAGCTAGTTGCAGAAATGTCCATTAAAATTCTCATAAGTTTAAAGCGACATTACCCATACAAAATTGAAATTCATTAGAGCTTAATGGCGTCATTAAACCTTAATGGACGTTAGTGCAACTGGCCGATAGTCACGTAAAGGTCTAGCAGCTAGTAGAGCTATACGTAACACGAGGTTAAACAAATTTAGATAAGCTTAATAAAAACAACGTAGAATCTCATACATCATTTATTAACCCAACAAGTGTTATAACAAAACTCAACGATTACATTAACAACAACAGTCTTCTTGAATAAATAAGATTAATTGCATACAATGAAAACACTATGTCTGTTAAGTACTACATTATTAATGACGTTATTAAAGCTAAACGTTCCGTGTAACGTAATTATATCATTTTAGTTTTGTGTATGACGAACCTCGGCTTGTTGAATACGGGTTCTTATAACCGGAGTCACTTGCTGATGTGTACTCAGTGTTATGCGATGCGATATCGTTGTCTTCTTTTGAAATACTTTGAGTAGCACCTGGTACTTTATCATACTCAGTGGACTGCACTGACGATGAAGTGTATGAACCGTATTTAGCTTGAGTATTTGGAGTGTAATAATTGTAAATACTCTGTAGAGGATTTGGATAAAGCGGATTGTTGTACCCGCTATACGGATTCGGCTGAGCAACAAGCAGCATTGTCGATGGCTGTCCTAAATAAGAACCACCTAATGATAGAGGTTGATAGCTGGGCTGTACATTAAATTGCCCTTGCGATATCGGAGCCAACAGACTCTGTTGTGCATGATACTGATTGGCCGGACCTGGCTGTAATAAAGTTTGGGGATACTGCAGAATTGGAGATTGATAATTAGGTGGTTGTAAAAGAGTCAGTTGTATATTCCCATTGGCTGATTTTGCGGGCACCACTTGATATTTAGACTGATAACCGGGGCTTGGAATAAAATTTATCGGTACAAACTGCGAAGAAGTAGTCGGTGGTATCAAATTGACGTGGGGCTGTTGAGGATACGTTGATTGGTCTGCTTGTATATTGGGAGCGTAGTATTGTGAGCTTTGACTCGGGTAAAAAGAGTTCGGTATTTGTGATTGATAAGTCGGGGGCTGGTTGGATTGTGAACTAGGATTTTGGGAATATATGTTGTAAGTATAGTCGGGCTTTTGTGCTCCAGTTGGTATTGCATTGAGGCTTGTCGTTTTACCAGCCCCTCTCTTTTTCTGATCGTTTTCCTCTACTTCGCTTGAACACGCCAAAGCTGCAGCAGCAATCAAGACCTGAAGAATAATTATTCAGAAATATAATACATTGTTAAAAGTATGTAACGCTTGATATAAAACCCTAGCTACGAGTACTTTTTAATCATTTAGTAGACACTGTTTAACAAGTATAATTAGTATTATGCTAATTTCGATAAAATATATTCTCAGTCTAGCTTTGTAAGAAAAATTAACATGATCCATCATAGTTAATTCAAAACAAGCGAGAAGTCTAATCAATCAGCTATGGTTAGCGCAAAATTAGTATTACAAAATGATAATGTTAAGACCATCTTTCTGATTATAAATTATATTCTTGACAGGTCAGTGAAAGAATATTAAAAGTTACATAAAACTTATTGACACTCACCAAAAGCTCTATCTTCGTCATGTTTGTAATTTAACTTGCTTATAATTAACTTAAAATCACATCATACTTTAATTAACAAACTTAGTTATTGAAAGGAAAAGTGTTCTAGGCCTTCGCGAGTGGAAAAGTGGTGGAGTGTATCAAGTTCATGCATTTATATGAACGACGGTGGACAACTTTCCTCCGAGTCCAGATCACGACGGGAAATGACCGCTCTATAGGTCTTTGTCCTGTCTAGGGTTGTCCCTAAGAGATTATCATCGGAACTAAATAGATAAATAAATAGAAAACTGCTAAACCTTTCATCGAATAAATTAAACAATCAAACATTAAGTGCTTAGTTATTATTAAAAATAAACAAATGTGAAACATCAAAACTTATGACGTAATTTAAAATTCAAATCTTTTTCTATTTCGTATAAAATAGAAAAAACATACATACGTAATCATCATCTTAGTTTATACATAAGTTACACCCGTTTTCACTAACCTAAATTAAGGCATAGTTTAACGAACAAACGGTTAACGGTTCTTACGAATTGCCTAGGCAGATTAGTTTAATTCCAAATAAACAATTTTACTTTTATTCCTTAATACATTTTAGATTTGTCAATTGTACAAATGCCTAACGCAAGGTGCCTTTAGACTTTAGACATTGCTTAATCTCGTTAGGTGGTTCCTAGTCATTGCTGAAACACATTTTCACCTTAGGCGATTCCTAAATATTTAGGCGACATATTGGGCGACCCCTGAGTTTAGTAACGGGCATTACTTTCATTGGTTACTTCATTGCATTACTTAAACATATACCTTTTTAAAGATATTTCATAATAGATGTAACAAAATACAACTTGAACCTGATAAATGTTTTATATATTTTAATAATTCCCAGTAGTTTCGAAATAAATAACAACATCTAATTGTACCATAAACAATTATAAACATCTGCACCAATTATATCGAATTATGTTGAATCGATAAAACGGTAAAGAGAACAATACTTTGTTATTATAAAAAAAATACACTGAATATCTTCTACTTCATCCGCTTAAATAATAAGTAGGTGAAAGATTTTTTATGATCGGTTCAGTATTTCCAAAGATTACCTCCTTCAAACAAAGGTAAACTGTCTTTATAGTAGTATAGGTATTGCTTTAAATATTCTGGAGTTTGTTCTCGAGCAGCCCTAAATCCACGTCTACTCCACAACCGCGACTTCCTATTTACGCCTTCGTCGAGAAAATACAACACACATTTATCTTCGCAACTTAAGAAACCGAACTATGTATATAAATATACAGGGTAATTTTTCAAACACCAACCTGGCAGAATTAAAGTATGGAAGAGCACGAAACAATGAAATTTGGTCACCCTATTACCAGTCAGAATTAGATTTAAAATTATACTCGTACCTTTTTATGTGTAATCTAAGATTATACAAACGAAAAAATTTCGACGCAGTATCATATGAAATGAGTCGTTATGTTCCCTAAAAAATGGTTGAGCGGGGACTGGCTGTTGCGTCATGATGGTAAACAGAAATTGTTGTGGAGGTCTGCTACTTACTTTTGGAAATATTAATAAGATCTATATTTTGGAAATATTAATACTGGAAATAAACTATTTATACTATATTACATCAGATGCATGTCTTAAATCGTATTATGTGTGTTTATTTAAATACTTGCTTATATTTAGTTACATGCAATATTATATAGGAAACTGTATAATAGATAGCCAAACAAAGAAATTTTATATGCTTATAATTGGATACAGTGCCTACTTAAGCTTTATGTATGCTTCAAAGTCAGCTTTATGCTTAAATAATATGTTGTCTATACAACAACTTGCTTATATAGCTTGTTTGGTGCTTATAATATGGAATATGGACGCTGTGTATTGCTTGTTATATTATATTTACATGTTTACATTGAAATGGAATAGCGGAACTCTGATATGTTCGTGGGATTTAACCCAATTCTTAAATTGTTTAAATAGTTGCTCTTATAGATTTTATTCTTTACGTTACATATATAATAATATATTTAGATTTAAAATATTGCTTTTCGTTCTTGATATGCTCATTGCTATTGTTGAGTATTGTGTATTATTTTATGATATAAGAATCTGCACAAATTATACAATTATTGTTAATGAAATAGGACTTCTTAGATACACAGGGGTTTTTATCGTTATATCAAGGTTAAATGTTTTGCATCGAGATGGACCTAGAGGTATCCGTGCTTATTGTAAATTGAATCAAATACCTAATGATATTGAAGGACTGGAGTGTTTGTCGTGCGGGTTATCATTACTGTTTTGGAGTAAAGTATTGTTTCGTGACTCTATACAGTCCAATTTTGCCTCCCATATAGGGATGTCATTAAGGTGTTCTTTTGCAACTTTTATTTTTAAAATTCGATTCCCACAATGACTTTTCAGACACCTTGGATTGTTTCTCTCTCTCGGAAGTTAGGAAATGTGTTCCTGAGGAATGTAAATCTGTTCTGACTGTAAATGGTGCTAAATCACTTAAAATCATTAACCAAAATATAAGAAGTAGCAAATATGGATGACTTTCTGACACTTATGGGTAGGATTGGCGTTGATTTTGACGTTATTGTGCTAACTGAATGCTGGCTACAAAAAAACCCCTTCATTCCACCTATACAGGGCTATTATCACACAAAATCCACCAAACCATACAACCAAAATGATGGTGTGGTTGTATATATAAAGGACAACATAAGGAAAGTGTCAGTGGAAGAGCCAGAGCTTCTGGATGCTAGCTCTCAATTGATTAAAATAGGTGGAGAGACGGCTATACTGGCGATTTACCGTCCAGATGCCTTTTTTTAACTCGTTAGATATTATACTTAGAAAGCTTAGTTCCTTCCGTAATATAATTTTAATTGGGGACATAAATATTGATATCGATCCATCTAGTACTGATAGAAACGCATCCTCTTACTTAAACTTAACCTCATCCCTGGGCCTACTTCCTTCTCATACTTTGCCCACACATAAATACACTTGCCTCGACCACATATTATTAAAAACTAACTATCCAGCTATCACTGTTGTTGTTGAGGCTACAGTTACAGATCATTTTGCTGTGGTTTTGTCTCTCTCCACAAAACTGGAATTACACAATCTTTCAGAGACACTCTCAAAAGTTGACGAAGAGAAACTGACCTCTAATCTGCTGAATATAAATTTTGACACACTTTATGGGTTGAACGATCCAAATCAGGCGATGGAAAGTTTCATAAACTCTATTAAAAAGTCAATTCATAATAGCACCACAACATACACTCCAACTAGAAGGCGTAAACAGATTAAGCCATGGATGACTTCGGGACTGTTGAGATGCCTAAGAAATAGAGACAACCTTTATACCAAATGTAGAAAGGCCCCTGAAAATGACACTCTTGCGACTACCTATAGGCGATATAGGAATTTTTGCAAATCATTGATGAGAAATGCAAAGCGCAATTTTGAAAAATCTGAATTTGCTTTAGCTGGGAAGGATCCCAAACGTATTTGGAGTGTGGTGAGGGGTGTTGCAAATTTCAACACCAAAACAAAGCCTAACTCGGAACTATTGCAACTGAGACCTGATCCATTAGAAGCAGCAGATGAAGTAAACGCCTACTTTATTGATGTCGGAAAGAATCTTGCAGAAAATTGCCTACTGAGCGCCCCTGCCCACTGTCAATCTGATACTACTGTCTCAAGCTCAGGTTCTCGAAACAATTCTTTTGTGCTACTCGGTACTGATAATGAAGAAGTTGAAAGAACAATCATTTCGCTCAAGTCTGATAAAGCTGTTGGGTGGGACGGTATCTCGGCTGGTCTTCTAAAAAAGTATAGGCATCTTCTTGTCCCTCCACTGACGTTCATTTTAAACCTTTGTTTATCATCTGGCACTTTTCCTGGTGTGCTCAAAAGAGCTATGATCCACCCAGTCTACAAAAGTGGCGATCGGAGCCTCCCAAGTAACTACCGCCCCATTTCAATTTTACCAACTATCTCTAAAATTCTTGAAAAGATCATGAATACTAGACTTATAAAATATCTTGAGAATAATGAGTTGCTATCCAAGTCACAATTTGGATTTCGTGCCAAAAAGTCAACTTCTGATGCTTTGCATGAAGTTAGTGATTACTTGGTGCATAACATGGACCGGGGTAGTAAGTGTTTAGCTGTTTTCCTGGATCTGGCCAGGGCTTTTGATACTGTCTCGATACCTCTATTAATGGCAAAGTTAGAAAAAATAGGAATACGAGGTACACAACTTTCTCTTTTTGCTGATTACCTTAGTAGCCGAACACAATATGTAAGATTGTCAAGCAAAGTAGTCAGTTCTGATTCAGATATATTGTATGGAGTTCCCCAGGGAAGTATACTGGGTCCTACACTGTTTCTTGTATTTATAAATGACCTCTGTGACCTCAAACTCCAAAATGGAAAAATAGTTACCTTCGCAGATGACACGGCGTTGCTCTTCTCGGGAGATTCTTGGGATGAGGTCTTTCTTTACTCCCAGAATGGTTTTAATTATGTATGTACATGGCTAAATAGAAATTTATTATCACTAAATTGTGTGAAAACTAAATATATGCCCTTTGCACTGCGTACTAGGGGTTTGCCTCCGGGACATCTGTTTAATATTACGGCCCACTGCTGTGGTCTTTTTGATATTACAAAATGTTCATGCCAAACTATAGACAGAACAGATTCTGTCAAATATCTTGGTGTTATGTTTGACAGTGGACTAGTGTTTTCCTCTCACGTCAAATCTCTATGTGGACGAGTAAGGAAGTTTATTTTTATATTTAAGAAATTACGCCATGTAGCTGATACGAATGTTCTCAGAGGAGTCTATTTTGCATTGTGTCAATCTATACTAATATATGGGATAGGGGTTTGGGGTGGAGCTGCCAAAACACTTCTTATTGAACTGGAAAGGGCGCAAAGAGCTGTGTTAAAAGTTATCTACTTTAAGCCCTTTCTATATC